TAAAAAAAATATTTAAAGAATGCATTAAATAAAAAAGTGAATATAATTATTCATAGCTCAGCTGATACATAAAATTCGCTTTATTCTCAAAAAAAAAAATAATGGACTTCATCTTTGTGTAGATTATCAAGGGGTTAAATCAAATCATCATCAAAAATTGATACTCTCTATCTTTAATAAATAAATTACTTAACAGATTTTCAAAAGCCAAGGTATTCACTAAGCTGAACCTTTGAAATGCCTACTACTGCATACTTATAGCGGCAAAAGACCGTTGGAAGACAGTATTTAAAATGAAATATGAACATTTTGAATATGTAGTTGTGCCATTTGGACTAGCTAATACTTCAGTGATCTTTCAAGCATACATTAACAATGCCTTGTCTGATTTATTGAATATATGTTGCGTTGTTTAATTGATAACATTCTCATATTCTCCAATTCAAAGCAGGAACATAAAGTGCATGTTACTAAAATGTTAAAATGTCTTGAATGTGTGAATTTATTTGCAAAACTTTTTAAATGTGAATTTGAAGTGGATAAAGTCTCATTTCTAAAGTTTGTTATAGATACAAATGATGTTGAGATGAAGTCAGACAGAGTTTTCATTATTATGAAATGATCTACATTTAAATCAATTAAAGAGATTCAATTCTTTTAAGTTTTGTTAACTTCTATCAGCAATTTATTAAGTCTTTCTCCTTTATTGTAGCCTCATTATTAAAACTTACAAAAGAGAGCAAGAAAGTGGAAAAGAAAGCCATTTTTATATGAATATATGTATGTATGTATAGGTTTAACGTCCCGGAGAAAACACGGGCAGATCAGCTGAGTGTCTATAAGAGTGTAATGAAGAAAATCACTGTTTATCATTGCTTGTACATTGATTAGATTATTTACAATGATAGAAATCATAGTTATGTTTGCTTGCATCTTCTGCTCAAATCTTTAGCTAGCTTTTTGCTACTTGAGCTCTCATTCATATTTTAGAGCAAGAGCTTTTCTTTTCCCTGTTCTTACTTGTTCACAGATGACACAGCATTCGCACATAGGAAGGGTTTACTCAGAGCAATCATATTTAAACATTGATTTGTGAAGTGCTCTGACTTGTTGCAGTGTATGCAGACTCCTCTGACAATCCAGTCAGTAACATCTTTCTCCGAAATGTTAGAGACTCTCAGGCGGCTTGTATTCATATGTGGGACTCAATTCATTGATTCTGATTTAAAGGTAGAGGGTGTTGCAGAGTAGTTCAGAGTGTACACATTTATTCAGTGAAATTCTTTATGATTTTGAAGCATGCGAAACTAAGACAGATTGTTATTCAACAAACAAAGATCAGTATAGAATTCACTGTATATTGAAAGCTTTAGACACTCTACATTTTGATTATGCAACTGAAAGTTCAAATTTTTGAATAATATATTGATCTTGATGATGTTATCTCAGTTCTACCCACCTGTTTCTAGAAGCTTGCAATTGAGTTCAGAAAAATAAATTGCTAATATGATGTTTCTCTAATGAGTCTCATTAAACAAGTTCAATGCCTTGGCTTGAAGTGTAGAATTGAGAAAGAGGGAATCAAATTGTCAGAAAATTAACTTTGATATTGTCACACCCTTGGTTGTGCCAAGGCCCCGTGACGGCTCCACACGGCCCATCGTTTCCCTCGGATAATCCCATCTATCCCATGACATCACGCAGGTGTCCGAACCGGTTTCCAACCACCCTATGACATCATTCGGATGCAATAGAAGAGGATCCGATTGATGAGATATGAGAATCCTGTTTCTATACGGGGTCTGGATTCCTTCTGGCAGATCAATGCCACTGCGGAGTTGCTTCGGCTACCCTCGCTCATAGAGTGAGGGGAGGATGGCTGCCCGTTGTCTATATAGAATAGCTAGATGCTGGCTCTCTATTCCAGGAGCCAGCGATTCGTCTTTTATCTTTTGACAATAAGATACCAGAGTTACCACTGTCCTCATACAATATTCATAGTGTGCCGAGTACCTCTGGTAGTTCAGTATTTGTATAGTATTCTACGAGTTCGCGGTTCAAGCGAGATAATCAAGCCCACCCATAAGGCTTCCCATTATATACCATCCTCCTCTGTGCCGCTGCCGAGTAGCAATCGCCTCGGCGCCGTCACATTACAGATATATATTGATTGTTCTGACAACGATTCATTCAAGATTGAAATTTCATTAACACATCGCCATTCAATCTGCTATAAATATACCACACTTGATTGAATAGTGAGTCTATTGCTTGTCCATCAATGTTCAATTTGATGTTCACTTTTGATTTCCACATAATATAAAGCACTAGGTCTTTCTTATATTTGTTGAAAATTGAAAGTTTCTCTCTCAGAGGCTTTTCATGAAATGTGGGTGTAAAAGAAACAATAAATATGAAAGTGCTCATTCAACAAATTATTGTTGCAATCAGCCATCTATAGTGCTTGCTACTGA